TTATATACATTTATCCCGAACCCCCAGATCCGCCGGTTCACCCCCCCCCCCCCCCCCTTTGTGACTGTTCTAATTCCACTGGTTTCTTGACAATGTTGAAAGGTTGACCTGAAGACAAATAAAGTCCTGGAACAGCCCCAATGGGCACCTCCACTGAAACTTCAATGAAAGATGTTCTAAGGCAAATTCCCAAGATTTGAAGGGTCCCAATATTATTGCGATGGGGTCTTTTAGGTGCTGTGATGAGGAGGTATTCTGATAGCTCTGCAAGGACAACTGTACCCACTGGTATACTGGGCACTCATAGAAAGGAAGGAACTAAAATAATTATGAATCATGCACATTGACCAGCCCCACTGTGAAAAACGGACATTCTTATAGGTGAAGGAAGAGCATTAGATGGCACTTTTAAGAACTAGGTGAAGAACTTCAGCATAGAGTATGGCAGAACTTCCCACATCTGATGCAGTATAATGAGCTAACAGATACCAGCTTACTTGTGGATCTGATGTCTATAACAGGCCACTGAGGAATCATCTACTCACATTAAAGCAGAGGAAAATATAATCAGAGGAACATGAGTGGTGACATTGTTCATCTCCAACATGCTTAATGTTAAAATTCCTTGGAAAAGCACAACCAAGGCCTGAGATAAAAAAGAAAATAAGTATACAACAGCTGAGATAAAGGTGAATATAAGATAATAGTGTGAACAATATATCTTACAGATACAACTGAAGTCAAATAGTTATATTCTAAACCTCGTATTAAAAATCTAAAATATTTTATACAACTTAAATACTTTAAAAATATGTAAAATAAGCTAGCATAAGTATATAATATTACAATAATTTGTTCCAAATAAAATGCAATAAATTGATGAATATAGCGCTTAAATTATAAAAAAATTACTGCTGTACATTGTAAAATTAATAGACAACTTATATTATGACAATGTTATATTTTTTCATGTATGATTTGAATTATTGTATCAACAACATGAATGTACTTGCACAAAAAAAACTTCATGCATCTTGATACTTAGGTACAAAAAATAGGGTATCACATTCAATAAGATAGTTTTAACACGTTCCCTACCGACCGTCACACTCCTCTGTAACCGAGGGATGAGTATAGTTGGTAGCTAATGTGTTAACACGTTCCCTACCGACTGTCACACTCCTATGTAACCGAGGGATGAGTATAGTTGGTAGCTAATGTGTTAACACGTTCCCTACCCACCGTCACACTCCTATGTAACCGAGGGATGAGTATAGTTGGTAGCTAATGTGTTAAACAGTTTGGCTACTTTATTCTGAGCATGCATACCTAAATATAATTTAAGTTGCTGATTAATCAGATGGAGGTCACTAATATTGGAATGATCAATTTATTGTTATGATTGATTAGTCAATAACAGTAACTTAAGCTTATTTATACAGTACATTGTAAACTATTATCATATAAGGAACAAAATAACAAATAAGACTAGTTTTCTAAACGTTTGAATAGTTTGTGTAACTCAATCAATACAAGTATGAAAATAAATATCTAAACTATAAATATCTCAGACAAATTACATTGAGACCAAAATTGTAAGGACAATATAAGCAGTTAAATCAACCTGTACAAGTTCACAATTGTATTGTGTCGTTCTCACTTCAAGTCTATTTCACTCATTGCATCAGGACAGGCAAATATGCAGTAGAGTCCAGCTGTTCCGAACTAACATGGACCGAACCATCTTCAGATAAGCGGGGATTCGAAATAAGTGGATTTCTTTGATAATATTAACGTGTTGATGGCAACATTATTACGATCGTGGTTGACATTTGTGCAGTTGCTATTGGGAAATATGTTGGCATTATGGCCAATCACGATGATGATAACATTGCCGCGATCCCAGGAGACAATGAAGTTTTTGGCAACATTTTAGTGTACTGAAAGCTCTTCTATTGTTCAGGATATGAGCATATAACTAACTTTGTCAACATTTGCGCTTACATTACTACATAAGTGGTATCATCACCAGAACTTATAGGGTTCGCGGCAACATTTCAAATTTTTCCGGCATTTATAGTAGCGTTCAATTCAACAACGTTCTTGGGGATATCGCTACCTTTGGATGTACCTGACATAAGCACTTGATTCTAGGAAGTTTCAGGCTACATCCCAAACATCGCCAACGTTTGTGGCGACATTGATTGCCTTGTTGACGGTTGCGAAATTAACCCTTTGCGGTCGAATAGTGAGTATAGGTCGCCGCCCGCCAATTTGCCGACTGCTCAAAAATGGCGACCTATAAGGACAAAAAAATCTAAAATCAAAAAAGTTAATTTTGTTGTCGAATGGCGAGTATAGGTCGCCGGGCGCCATTTTCATGACTGCTCGAATTGCAAACTAAACTCACCGGAAAATGGGGAAAAAATTCGACCTCAAAGGGTCAATACTAGAATATTCAACATTACCAACGCTATTGATAACATCGCCAACAAAATATTGATATCGCTAACTTTGACCATATTGTCAGCTTTGGTAAAGTTTGTGGTGATATTCCTAGCTCCTTTGACACAGCGATTGTGAGCTTTTCGGTTATAGCTAGCTTCAACAAAGCTCCCAGTGAAATAGTTACATTCATACTAATGTTTGAAAAATTAAATAATGTCAACCCTTATTTCAGAATAAGCTAAATTTAAAATAGCAGAGTTCGGAATAACAGGACTCTAAAGAATAGCAGATTGTCAAAAAACACCTCAATTGAACCTAGGTAGTCAAAACGGAACTTTCCTTTTAAAGACAATTGGAAGCATATCCAGGTATTCAACAGGTTTAGTGAAACAAACACTAAACACTAAATACACATGTTCCTGGATTGTTCAGGTGTGAATTGTAAAACTGAATTACAAACTGTCCTTTTTCAATATTGAGCAAATGTTATACCCTTGTATCACCGACTACACTTAAATGCTACAACTAAGAATACATACAAAATTATGGAATACAACGAATTTCAGTGATTACCTATAAATGAGAGACAAGAATAAAAAGTTCTTGTACTTTAGCGAAACATCAGTGATTAGGTAATTAATTTCTTACGCCTTAAAGCAGCGCTTCCCAACTTTTTTGCCTGGGACCGTTTTCATAATGGATTTTCCATTTAACCCAAATATATTAATGCTGTCAAATTACTTATAGGATTTATTGTTAGGTCTATTATTATGTTTTTTATTATTATTGTGTAAACATTCTGTTGAAAAATACAAGTGGTGGAGTAGACATTACTTAGTAAGACTTCAAGGCACACTTTTCTGTGAACTTTAAACTTAAAATTAGTGCAGGGTTAATTTTTCATAAAAAAAAACAATGTTGACATATGTAGGTACCTGATTTATTATAATAAACCCTGATTTGCAGATCAGGTACCCGTAAGCTCCTACACCATTTTTAATGTGTTTATTTTTTTAATATTTTCTGGACCTATTTAATGAGGTAATATTTTTAATACAAAGATTAAAAGTTGTTGAAAACTTTTGATCACAAAATGAAGATAATTTACTCATTCTCTAACTTAGATTTAGTGATTGTCAGCAGATGTGTTTAAAAATGCAATGCCTCTTATTATCTTAATACTGTACTTAATTTTGGGTAAATATGCCAATAGGCAATACTTTATGGAACATTTTTTCTTGCACTATTGCCCTAGAAATTGAGGTAGGGGGAGGTAGTTCACTTTCACAGTTTGGGAATCTTCACAAAGAGAAACTTTAAATTAGTAATGACCCGATTGAAAAACAGAAAGAATATTTATAAAATATTTTTCTTTAAAGTTAAAACTACTAGGCCTATTGCTGTAACTTTTCAAATTCATGTATTTTTTTATCAAAATGAATAGCCAGAAAATAAAAGCATAGTTATTTTAAACCCTCTTATACAGAGTGTGGCAGAAAGGACTCAGTAGTATCACTTGTGTAGTACTTTGGCTATGGAGGGGAAAGGACACTGTTGGTCTTTTCTAACCAGCCACTCATACTATTTCAGTCACTAACATGGTTTTGACCAGACAACATAGAGGTTATGGTGTTTGTGAAAAAAAACTTGAGGTTAGTAATTTCAAGAACAAAATATTTTTCCTGGCGGACTACTACCTTCTATATTTGCATTGCACAGGATGGAAACAAGTCGGTGTAAAGCTTTCTGCGTCACAATTACTGACTTGTAGTTATTAAAATATGCACATACAGCATAACCTTAGGTCTAAACCATGATAACGACTGAAACGGTATGAGTGGTCAAGAGAACCAGACCAACAGTGTTCACCTTCTCCTTCCATGCCAGGGAACTACACGAGTGAATCTGCTCAATTCGTTCTAGCACAATAGTGTGCCCTTATAAATATACAGTACAGTAGACTCCCTCTTGTCCGAACTCCTCGGGACCGAGGCCAGTCCGGATAACGGGTTTTCCGGTTAAACCGAAGTCCCCAAAAACTCGTGAAATAACGGACCATTTAAATGCGTATTTGACTTAAATTTAGGAAAGTAATGTATTTAGACACGTGATCAGTGGTCTCAAATCTTTCCCACGAAAGTCGTTTCAGTACCGCCCACTTCCTGCCGATCTAATCCGGTTAAACCGATGTATTGATAAAAATTGTTCGGTTAAAGATATGTCATTTCCGCCGAGTGTGGTCCGGTTAAAAGGTGTCCGGATAAGAGGGAGTCTACTGTACTTTGAACTTAACCAGCCTCAAAAAAACTCATGATTGAGATCTAGTTTCACAGGCTAGAAACCATGGAAAACCAATGGAATGTCACATAACCTAACCTTAATAAATCACAGCTTACATAACCGGTTAGCTTATTCATCGATGTCACACATCTCAACGCTATTCATTGATCATCAATATCAGTTACTAGAAGGGTTTCTTTAGTAAAATTGTAAAGTAACCAGAATCAGGTTTTAAAGTTAAAATCAGGCGTGTTTTAGAAGTGAAATGGAAATGATGTTTTACGTTGATTTTTGATGATAAAATACTTTTACATGTTCTGAAAGCCCTGTTCAAAAACTTACACACTACAATATAGTACATGGCAAATCTTTGGAATGTTTGCAAACGTAGATTAGGTAACCCTGGTTTCTTGAGGTTCAACAACTGTTATGTGGCTCGAGAAGAGGGGAACATCTTCATATCGATATAGTCGTCCATAATCTGAAACATTCATGGGAATTAAAATTACTATTTTACAAATACAGTTATAGAAAGGAAAATAGAGTAAAGGTAGAAAATTATCTAATTTAAAACACCTACAGTAGACCCCCTCTTGACCGACCTCGCAGTCTCGCTCGTAAAATATTTTAGTTTGTTTAACAGACCTTGTTTTGAGAGCAGTTTGGTTTAACCGCCACTTTCTAGGAATCTCAGCATTTCCGCTTCCACGCTCAGCGATGGGAACAATACACTAAACTCTACAGGATGTCACTGTATAGATTAACATTCTAATTCTGACTCATAACGAAATGGTTGCTTGTATCTAAAATTTTGACAATAAGTTCTGAACTGTATTTGGCCATACACATATTACGTAGCGCACTTTTTCTTCATTTTAAACCCCCTTTCCCCATCTCACCGTGACGCTTGAGCAATCTCCTGACCACCCTTGCGTTACGTAACTCGATCGTAATAGACTGTAATAACAGCTTAAGCTTAATAATTTTACTAGTGGAATATATATTTAAATAAATCATTAAACTTGTAATGACTTTTGTTTAGTAACATTTTTATAATTAAAGAAAAATTGATACAAACAAATAAACAAGATGTTACACTAAACTCTATAGGATGTCACTGTATACTTGTATAGATAAACATTCTGACTCATAACAAAAGGAATGCTTGTATCTTGAATTTTTACAATAAGTTATGTACTGTATTTGGCCATACACATATTATGTAACTCACTTTTGAGTCATTTTAAACACCCTCCCCCCCATGTAACGCACCGTGACGCTTGAGCAAACTCTACTCTAACACACATATTTATTTTTAGTTTTACTGTTATTAAGGTAGGTAGCATGACGGACGTGGACGTATCTTTTTATATAACTAACTGATTTAGATAGGTATCAATTTGATTATTTTTGTATTTTCAAAGAGGAATGTGTGTTACGTAACGTTGAGCAAACCCCCCTCCGACCCTCCCTCCATAATATAACGCAGTGTAACGCTATACCATACCCCCTCCCCTGCCTTAAGTGTGTTACGTAATATGTCTACGGCCACGGCCCCTTACGACAGATTTGGAAAGAATCAACTAATATTACTAAAGGTATTAAAATAAGAATTGTTATTGAATCTGGCCTACGACTATAATTTATTCCACTGAAAGTATTTGACTTTACCGGGTTTTAGGTTTATTTGTGACTTTTTTTATGAATACTTAAAAAAGAAGATAAGTGTAGTTTATTTTGTAAATAATGCACGTTTTAAAACTCCAGAATAATTATTGTATAATACCAAATGAAAAGCACTTCATTTTTTTTAGTTTCTAGGGATTGCCCATTTTTACTGACCTTTTGAGTTATCCGACCTATGTCAGGTCCCGTTAGGGTCGGTTAAGAGGGGGTCTACTGTATTTGGAAATAAATCTTATAGTGTTCGTCTTCAAATCTTACTATTTTGAATATAAAGAGAACGAGAGTGTTATAAGACAATTTTTAGTATAAGGATAAATTTGATGATTTAAAAATAAGTCTGAGCAGCACATTGAAGTCGGACACGTTTTTGTTTCTACAACAGTGTGGTTTTTTTTGTGATTTCCTAACTTTGGATGGATTTGTGTATTAATCTTGTTTTGTTTTAGTAACTTTAATAATAATAATAGGTTAAATACCTTATTTATGTCTTCAATCCAAAGTAGTTTTTATGATTACTATAGTTTCGGGGCTAACAGCTCCATTGTCAAGTCTTCTTGTCTTGTTAAATTACTTGAGTCAGTCAGTGTACCGGTCCGTACAACCACTACGCCATTTTTGTTTAGGCGGGCCAAAATACAAATTTTCAATGTTACTTGTATATATTAATGTTTCGTGTGTGAGTGTATGTCTACATGTGATCTTCAACTATGACCAATGCTATTCACAGTAATTTAACAAGACAAGAAGATTTGACAATGGAGCTGTTAGCCCCGAAACTATAGTAATCATAAAGACTACTTTGGATTGAAGACGTAAATAAGGTATTTAACCTATTATTATTATTACTCTTTATCAGGCCAGGAGGCAAAACATGGATAAATTAGTAACTTTCTCAACTGAGGATGGGATCAGATTCCAGATCCCAACATGACATGAAAACATTGTCCAATCGTTATGGAAAATGTCTGCAGTAATTTCTTAAATAGCATAAACTCTCCATCGACAAAAACGATACTTTAAACAAGATGGAAAATGTTCCTTGATACAGTTAAAACATATACATAAGCACAAACAATATTGAAGGATGATTATTATAAATGTATCAAGTAAAGAGAAATGTATGTCCCCTATACCATCATAACCATCAAAAATAAATTCCTCATTTATACCAAAGAAACATCAATATCCATACATCATCAAAGTTTCCAGAAGTTGTATGCTTCTCATGTCGGCTCTTCAGCCATCATCAGATCGTCGTATAAGAACTTATCTTGCCTCTTACTCAAGAAGTTCTTGTCTAAGTTTGCTTTAGGCCTCTTTAAGCATGTAAAAAGTTCAAAAGTACACATAGTATTTTGTTCCTAACTTTTGACAAACCATGATAAGTTTTTATACAACAATCTGATCATGTCTAAACACCCAAAATGTACATAATCCAGAGGACGAGGATTGGAAAACAGGTAATTTAACCTTTTTAATGTTGAATATAAGTTTCGGAAACACCACAACAAAACATGATGTATAATTCTGTTAAACATAGGCCTACTTGTCATGTGAGAAAAAGGCTGTATTGCTCAGTTGATAAGATGAGTCTATTATCATTTTGCCTCCAGATAAAGGACTTGTCATAAGATAGCTACATTGATAAGGGGTGAGCAGTATGTACCTACTGCTACATAGGGATCAATCAATCAATCAATCAATAAATCTTTATTCAATACATACAACAAGTGTACATGAATGTGTCATCAACCTAAAACTACTTCACATGATTTCACCTACTTCCCTACTTGATTAGTCATACAGTTTTTTTGTTACAGTGTTCAAAACTTTCCAAACTATAAAATTCGCTATAAATTAAAAACCCCTTAAGTTTATTTTTGAATTTATTTACGCTACTTTCGTTTCTAATACTGCTGGGGAGGGAATGCATGAATTTGATTCCAATATAATTAGGACTCTCCTTAAATTTTTCTTTTTTATGTTTTTTAGTTATGAAGTTTAGTTTGTTTCTAGTGTTATAATTATGTACGTCTTTCTGTCTTTGAAGTTCTGATTCATGATTTTTAACATACATTATCGTTTTATAAATATAGAGACTGAAAACGGTAAAGAACTCTAATTCTTTAAAATGATTTTTACAGGATTCGTTTATATCGAGATTAAGGATACACCTAATGGCTTCTTTTTGTAAATGTAAAATTTTGTTTAAATTTAACTTACTTGTTCCTCCATAAATTTCTATACCGTAAGAAATATGTGAGTGAATAGTAGCAAAGTAAACCTTTCTTAAGATTTCTCTGTTGCATAATGGATATAAGCGTCTAATAGCAAAAATACTTGAGCTGATTTTATTACATAAGTTGTCAACATGTGAGGTCCAATTAAGTGTGCTATTTAAGGTGAGGCCTAAAAATTTAGTTTCATAAACAAAATTGTTAAACAGTTCTTTTCTAGATTTTTTAGATTCAAACTCAATGAACGTTGTTTTATTTTCATTTAGTAAAAGATTTTTTTCATTCAAGTAATCTTTAATTATTGTGAGTGAATCATGAGTTTTATTTATAAGAAGCTCCATATTCTTATCATAAATCGACATACTTATGTCATCTGCATACAAGCACAGAGTATTATTTTCTACATGTTCAAATAAATGTTTTGGCATCCCTCCCAAGTAGCACAAGAACAAGAATGGGCCCAGCACTGATCCTTGTGGCACTGAGTATTTTACTGTCCTAACCTCAGATTTAATATGGTACATTTTATTCCCACTTAAATGAACAATGTTAACAAACTGTTGGCGTCCCTCCAGATAAGATTCAATCCAGCTTAACTCTTTGCCACCAATTCCATACATTTTAAGTTTATTTAGTAACTTTAAATGGTGCACGCTGTCAAATGCCTTGGACATATCCAAAAAGGCACCAATTACTTTGTTGTCCTCATCCAACTTTTCCAACACATTTTCAATATAAGATATAAGTGCTGTAGTGGTGGATTTGTTTTTTCTATAACCATGCTGCTCTTTATCTAATAAGTTATTAATTTCAAAATAATCCACTAGCTGAAAAAGAAAGCATTTTTCAAATAATTTTGAAAGAGCTGGTTGAATTGCCAATGGTCGATAGTTATTTGGATCTTTTTTGTCTCCTTTTTTATATACCGGGATAATTTTTGAAATTTTCAGCTTATCAGGATAAACACCTGTTATAAGTGAAGTATTAATGACGTGTAAAAGTGGCTTTAATAAAACAGATTTAGATTCTTTTATTATTCTAATCGGAATTTCATCATAACCTGATGACCATTTAGGTTTTAATTGGTCTATTATGGATATTAAAATTGGTTCATCAATTGTTTTGCACTTAAACTTAGTGTTTGAAGCAAAATTTTCAGAACTAGTTTGGGTTTTATTCAGATTTGGTAAAACATGATGTTCCACCATATCAGCAAAATTATTATTTAATATATTTGAAACAGCATATGGGTCCTCTATTTCGGCACCATTCTGCATTAGTATAACATTATTATGCACCTTATCTTTTTTACTTTTAGTTTCAGAGTTCACAATCTGCCAAACAGTTTTGTTAACATTGGTCGAGTTCCTAATTTTATTGTTAAAATGATTTTTTTTCTTAAGCTTTATAATTTTTCTATATCTTTTTTTACGTTCTTTAATACAATTCTTTAACTTAATGTTACTTCTATCATTCCTGTACAATTGGTGCTCTGCAATTAATTGACGGTGCTCATTGATAATTTCATCATCGATCCAGCTGTTATTTACATTACTCGTGACTATTTTAGTTTTTGGAAAATGTAAATCAAAATAATATTTAAGTGTGTTATAGAAGTAAGTAAATTTGTCTTCAACATTACAGTTATAAAGCTTTGTCCAATCCTCCTTGGAGAGATCATGAATGAAGAGTTTAATGTTTTCAGGTTTAAATCTTCTTTCAAATTTATGTATTTTAGAATTTATATTGTTTTTACTTTTTAAATTTAAAATTTTGAAGAGTTGTCCATCATGGTCTGACAAAGCTGTGATTAAACTTTCTACTTTAAAACATTTGTCATCTATGTTGGTGATAAAATTATCAATAGCTGATTCATTATGTTCAGTAACTCTAGTTGGTATTTTAATAGTATATTGAAAACCATGCGTTTGTATTATATTCACAAAACTTTTTTTCTTTTTGTCTTCCTTCAAAACATCAATATTAAAATCGCCCCCCAGTAGAATGTTACGGTTAATTTTATTTAAAATTCGCAACAGTTCATTTAATTTGTCTAGATAGATTTCAGCATTTTCAGATGGGGTTCTGTAAAGACCCACAACTAAAAATTTTTCTTTCCCAATTTTAATTTCAGTTATACAAGATTCAAATATTTTATCTTGATTAAGTGATGTCAAAGAATTAAATGATACATTTTTGAAATTGATATTTGTTGATACCAGTATTAAAACGCCCCCTCCTCTAAAATCAGTTCTAGCAAACCAGGTAGCCACTTGAAACCCAGGTATTTTGAGTGTCATAATTTCATTTTGGTTTAATTTATGTTCCGTTAAAATAATGATTTGCGGCTTTAGTTCTTCAATAGTAATAATTAATGAATCAATTCTAGTAGCTAAACATTGTATGTTTTGGTGGAAGACAGTTATGCTAGACTGCTTATTTATGTTTGTTAATACAGTCTTAGTTGCTTTAGAATTAGGCTCAATTACTTCACAGGTAACCCTGGCCATACTTGGGAGTTTAAAACATTGCTTGCAAAGGTCTGATTGTTAACATTTTCAAAATCAATATCACTATTTTCTAAGCTAATTTCACTAGTTACATTTTTAGAACTTATATTTAATGTGGGGTAAGGGGACACTTCACAAAACACAATATTGCCCATATCACTTTGATTAACACTTTTTTCTTCCCCAGATGATTGAACAGTCAACTCAGATTCTTGTTTACTTTCGGAGGATTCAGTTAGAGAAGGTAGATCCGTTGACTCAGTTGCAGGGTGGATGTCGAGTACTGGCGGAAGTGTTGGTTGATTGTGTTTCATATTTCTACTCTGATGTTCTTGTTGTAATCCTCTATCAGTGTTAAAAACAGTTGTACTTGTTTTTACTCCCAGAGTAAATTCACTATTGGAGTTATGAATTTGTTGGTTTTGCCTAACACAGCCCTCCAAGTATTGACCAACTATGATTTGCTTTAGGTATTTTACGAAAGTTGTTTGCTTCAGTCCATTTTTTAGATATTTTTGTGATTCATTTTTACCCGTTATGATAAATACGGATGCTCCTGTTGAGTTTTGAAACCTCATTAGATTAGTAATGAAATGAACAGGTGAGACTCGATCACGATTACATCCCATAGTTGAGCATATCAGAGTTTGGTGGTTACGAGTTTTGAAATCTTCAGTTAGTTGGGAAAAGGCCAAATCATAGTTATTTTTATACTCAGGAAAATTGTTAGTATTTAGAAAATATTTGGGTTTTGTAACAAGGCTGTAAACACCGGCGCCGTTGTCAGTTTTTTGGTATGTTAAGTTGCTGGAACAGTAGTCATCCTTCTTTGGTCTTCCCAACTTGTCCCTGAATACCGTAGCAACTCCCTGACTCATATGTTTTGTTTGATTTTCGAAATCTGCTGATATGCAGTGGGCAAATGAAACGTTGGAATTGCTGCAATATTTGTCTATGTAGGAATCCATACCATCCTCAATTACTTTCAGAGATATTTTTGATTCAATTTCAGTCAATTGCTTTGAAAGTTTTAAGTTCAATACAATGTTCGCAATTCTCCTGCTTAATACCTGCTTTCCAAACTTATTCATGTGCAGCCCGTGAACTGTGAAAAATCTTCGTTGAAAGTCGCTAATGTGTAATACCTTGAGATGCCTCATTTTTCTTAATTCACTATTGATTGTATTTATACCTTTGTTAATAGGGTCGTCAAGTTTCAAGTCAAAACGGTAGGGCAGTGACACATAAACAATATTTGTATGACTGTTGTCTTCAGCAAACTTTTTAAATGAAGCTGGAATGTTATCAACTCCCTTATGCAATGCCTCATATCCAACATTATTGGTTCCCGCAATGATAACAGCAGTGTCATATTCCTTAAAATCTCTTATCATGTGGGCTGTTTTTTCCAAAATGTGGTCAAGTTTGCCTCCAGAAGTTGCTGAAACAAAGGTATCAAAGGATCGAGGCAGTAATGATTCCAATAAATTTCCCAAGCCTTTGCCATGGCTGTCTGCAAAGACATGCACTCTTGTCTGTGAAGTTCGGCATCCAGTTTCATTAGTTAAGTGCACTTTATTTTGATTTAATAAACGTTTTCTATTGCTTGAAATGCTAGGTTTAGTTGCATGTTTAGTTTTATCATGAGTTGTCTGCTTGTAGGAAGATCCAATTGTTTGTGAAGATGTTTCTTGATCTAATGTAGGAACACTCAAGGCAGCTTCTTCAGGTTCGTAGTTGGTCAGAGATGAAAACCTGTTAGTTATGGTCGGGTGGTAACTTTCGACATTTATTGGTCTAGATGCCTTTTTTTGAAACCTAAAGTTATTTGTGTTCATACCGGATGTACCTACTGTGTCTATAGCCTGTAATGTAGTTTTGGTAGTAGTACAAGTAGTAGCCTCTTCCTGGTTATTGTTTTTGTTATCACTGTGGTGATGTGCATTAGGTATTGGGGATGTTTTTGGAGCAGTCATCAAATTGCTGAAAGTGTCCGATGTCAGATTAAGTACCAGATGTTTATCAGACTTGCAAATCATAATTGAAAAGATAGTTTCATTATTCATTGCTTCCTTGTTAATTAAAACATAACAAAGTAATGAGCGTTTACTGATTATCTGAGCTGATGTTAACTTGCACTTCGCGAGAAACTCTGTATTTATTTCCCCAGAAGTCATGAGGTCATGCACAATTGATTCCACTGTCCAGCACATGAACACCCCACAGTCATGGCTATTTGGTTGCTGTGGGCCATCGAGAGCAAAAAAGTCAGCTTTATTTGTAGTACCAAGGTAATGAGATAGTTTGTCAGCAACCTGCCGCGCCGAACTCTCGTTGTAATTTCCCAGAGAATCAAAGTAATAATATTTATTCTCTTCCCTCAAAAGTATGAGAGTACTCCAATGAGAACCACTGTCATATGATGAGAGATTTACAGAGTCATTTATCGGCAATATGACAACCTTCATACCATTGATCTTGAGTGGATCCAGTAAGTCGGTGAAATCATTTGTGTTCTTCACTGCATGCACAATGAGAGGATTAATTATTATGCATGCTTTATCATGTAGGAATCTATCATTTAACATCTGAAAATACGTCTGGATTGTTACATCCGTGAGAAATTCTTCGCTAAGCAGCTCCTTAGATGTTTTAAGACTGTTGTTTTGGTTTACTGTCAGTAATTTTTTATTTTTTATTGTATCAGAGGATGACATGAATTTATCAGTTAAGGGTTGATTATTAATAGCTAGATTTTTAAGCATCAGGTTTTCATGCTTAATCAAGTTGAGATCATATTTTAAATTAGATATAATCTTCTCTAATTCACTAATTTGGGATGACGATTTGGGTAGGTTTTCTGGAGTACAGGATTTAATTACAGATTGTGAATCTTCATCATGGATCCTTGATTTCACTTGGGATTCAACTTGTTATACCAAAAAAGTATTTTTTTGAGAATTTCACATTAATTCTCCAAAAACTTTCACTTATAAAATATACATAAACTTCACATAATGTACCATAGAGACTGATTTTATTAACTTCAGCCCTAATGAATATAAATGTACTATGTACAAACAATCAAAATCTTTATCACTAAATCTCAATGAATTGTTTTTGCCCGGAAATAATAATTCCTGTTCTGTTCCCATCCTAAAAATTAGGAAGCAAAATTAAATTTACGCCTGAACTGAACCAAAAGTATAAGTCTGTCCATTCCTGAATACTACCGTTGACTATTTGATACAGAAGTAGACCGCCAATATATATATGGACAAGCTGTCGCCAATTTTTTACAAAAAAATAATTGCCTTACTATTTTCTACCTTAATTTTCATTTTTGATATAGTTTATGGGTCATAATAATTGCTATAGCTCATTATAATTTGTTCCATCAGTTTGACTTGGTAAAAAATATCCTACTGAAATTTTTAATTTAGTTCAGCGCAATCTGTCGGTGGCTCACATCAACTACGACAAATTTCATTAAAAACTTACAAAATTACATGGGAATAGAATGTCTAGTTGTATCAATAGTCAAAGATACCACCATAGATAAAACATACTCCCTTAGTATATTTAATCCTTATGGAACAGCTGAAGCCAATTTTACTGTTAGTTCTGTCCGCTGTACTGTAGAGTCGTGTTTTGTTTACAATTCGTTTCTTGCTATTTCAGTATAAAACCTAGTTTAACCAAATAAAACTATCTAATCATAAACAATAACCTGTCCACTATATAACCAAACAGTGAGGCACAAATCATGAGAAACTAACCCTAAAATAATACAATCAAATTGTAAACAAAACACAACATCTACAGTACACCGGACAGAACTAACAATAAAATTGGCTTCAGATGTTCCATAAGGATGGGAATCTACTAGGAGTATGTTTTATCTAAGATACCACTATGTAAAATTTTAGTTCAAATTGTATTCTCTACCTCTATGAGAGCTTCCTTGGTTACTGATGGCTGCGAGAGAGTGAACCCTGTCTCTTTGAGCCGAGCGTTGCTGAGGTTGAGGTGTTTGTCCTCCAGAAGCTCCTGGTGGATGAAGGGACTGAGGGGAGTATTCTCCACTCCACACAGCTTGCACAGCTCAGCCCACGGCCCCATGTGTTTATCATTGGCCTCCTCCACCACCATTGACATGTCCACCTGAAACAGAACACCATCAACTCATTCCACGGCTTGACTCAATTTTGACTTATGCTCGATCAACCAAACCTTTAGGCTAAACTTGGCTCGAAATTCAATCAGCTCGCACTTCTTTTGTAGTTGTCCTAGTTAAACATGATCATTTTGGACAGAACTTATGTTATCTATTGATTCCTTATAATATTTTGTTATGGAAAAAACGCTTGTTTTACTATTTCTAACAAAAACTTTTTTTCAGTCAAACTTAAATAAATACCCCTATGATGACTTTTATACTCTGTATAAAAATTTAAACTACAAAATTGTACACACTCAGAATATAACTATTAGAATATTAGAGTGAAGTCAAACACTAATAATAGTTACCTTGCAAATAGTGGATACAACGTTGCCGTAATAGTCGTAGTTGATGTTGAATAAGTCGGAGATGATTTCAGTGACACTTCCCTGTGTGGTGTTGCCGTCATCAGTGAGATTGTAAACTAGTCCGGACGAGTCTGGCCGATGCAGCAGATGCCACACAGCTCGCGCAACGTCTCTAGCGTGTACAGTGTTCATCACAAGGTCGCGCGACCACAGCAGCTTCATGCTCTCTCCTAGATGCTGGTAGGTGGCACCCAGTACCAACCTAGGAACTGGAACACAACTAATCACATTACAGACACGTTACAGGATATTAAAGGGATCATGGGAGCAAAGGTAGAGTGATAGAAAATTTGTGTCGTTTCTGTAATTGCTGCGAGATCATCATGATAATACAGTAGAACCTCGGTTAACCGAGCCTCGCTTAACCGAGACTCCGGGTTAACCGAGGCCGTCCTCGAACGATTTTTTTTATTTAAAAATCAAAAGAAACACGCACAAACTACGTACAGTAATGAGCGTTTGGGTGCTCCTTTTATCTCAATACGCACGCTAGCCTGCAATGCGTTAAAACTACTGTACAGTAAAATGTTGGCAACTGTTGTGTTTCCTCGGCCAAATATTTGCGTAGCTTAGCGCTTATCTTTGCCGAATGCATACGGCACTGTCACCCGACACCGCTCGCCAGAGCAGCTGCAGGTGTTGTAACCCGACACCGCTCGCCGCCGGACCAATGCGAACTGTTTCAATGCCGAGACGCGACCATCGATGTATAATAACTCTACTGGATAGCGCGCTAGGTGGTGGAAAAACGGTCCGTGCCCGCCAATCAAATTGGCGGGATACCGAGGCGGACGGGCCGAGTGAACCTCTCTGTTTTACACAAACATACATTCACTCAACCTGCTCTGCTACACTTATTTGTTAACATAAAAATTTCAAATTGATATATCATTTTTCTGGAAAAACCAGTGCTCATTACCATGTAGCTAGTTTTTACATTAACATATTTTTTATAATTTATTTAAGCAAATTAAAACAGATGATTGTTTTTTAACGCCATTAAAAACATGAAAAATGTAGTAAGCGAGGAACTTTTTTATTTTTTGGTCAGGAAAAAAATTCCTGCGGCAAAGTTTTAGATCAAAGTATGAATTTTATTTTTTATTTGAAGCTTTTTTTGATACGGAGCCTGCTTGTATCATTTTTAAGCGATTAAAAATAGGCATAAAATCGCTTGCCGCGGCATTGGCGCTAGGAGCTCGGCCGGCTCAGCATCAGTTTACGGGATATAGAAACCGAGTTTCTAGCATTTAATTATCATTATATTACATCAAATATGGCATAACATTACGAAGAATGGTAACTAAATTTACAGCCGTATGTTTATGCATTTTAATGCTTACCTGTAGTCTATAGTTAAAAAAATTCTTTGAATCAAAGAATAAATGTTGGATTTCACAGCAGTATTTAATACCTAAGAAATTATTTTGTTATTATTTTACTTCAGTGAGAATAATGAATACATTTGAAATATTGGCATTAAATATTATACACTCATTTTATTTAGCAACATAATATATTTTCCAAACACGTTAATAACAGTATGACAAAGAAACATACTACAATTTAAACAAAATATATATTCTTAAATGATGCAAAGTCTCTCAATAATAATTGGGCCTCACCGAAGCAAATGATGACATGCATATGTGATCAAATAATTATTGTGATAGACTTTGCTCTGGTTAATGTTCAAATATAAATAAATCTAACTCTTTTATATCACCACTACATTTCTTATGAGATTTACTTTTGACACATACTCTACAAAGTGTGAGCAAGTACGTAGATTAATTATATCTGCCGATAAACCTCCTTAAGTTCGTTACAATCAATTATCCTCGGAATATTTCCACAAAACTAACATAGCAATACACGGCGAGAGCGGGCGCGACGCTCGCCACTAGGGTGACTCATGCCTTTTATCCCCACTCCTCGCGGACAGAGCGAGGTAGCGACGGACCGTTTTTCGAGACCTACTTCAACCTGAGCGCGCAATCCAGGGAGTTATTATACATCGATGGACGCGACTGAGCCACTCGCTCTCCCCACCACCCCGATTCGACAAAAGTTTTTTTTACAGCGATGAATCTGATGGGGCGACTGAGAAAATGTCACATACAGAAGGTCTGAGAATGATCGAGGGAGCACTGGCATCACTGAGCTATAATTCTAACTGGAGGTAGCACTGAATGTCAAAGATGCGTGTCGCCAGCCGCCATGTTTGCGTGAGGTGTGAGTTAAAATGAAGCCATGTTATTGGATGAAAAAACTCACTGCTATGCAAACCTAGTTATAGAAGCCATGTTATTGGATGAAAAAACCTGCTGCTATACCAACCTAACAAAATCAGCGACACGCTTTTGACAGACTTCTGCAATGGCAGTGCTACCTCCAGTTATAATTTTAGCTCAGTGACTGGCATACATTGAACAACAAGAAACCGCAACAACAAACGATTTAGTTTGGCTGCGACGCTGGCGCAACAGGGCGGCTAGCCTAAGATCCTCTAATCTAAGTCAAAAAACAATAACTGATTTCTTTGGGAAAAAAGATTAGCTTACTTTGTTTATTTTTGTACAATGTACAGTAAATTAATTTTCATTTCTTTGATTTAATTTTGTAAACAGGAATACTGTACTGTAACTAAACTTCTGTACATTGTGTAGCCTATATCATACGTATTCAGTTGTGCAATAAATTGAGTGTTATATTAAAACAGTGTTTAGTATTGTGAGTGTTACCGTTTCCTCTCACGTTTTATTGCGTACTAATAACATTTCTTGTACTAATAAACTAAACAACAGTTCAGTTAATAACTTTTGTTCATGTTTTAGTATATCTTGAGCTATTTTTAGCCCCGGTAACGATTTTTAGGTTACGTTCCGTGTTATCCGAGGTTCGCCGTATCCGAGGTACCCTCGGTCCCAATTACCTCGGTTAACCGAGGTTCTACTGTACCGCCATCACAATTTTGTTTGGATCAGAGGAGATTCTGGAATTAGAATTGAAACTTATGTCACAAAGTATCTTTAGTCGAGGATTTTGTAATATTAAATTTTTATGAATTGATCATCAAAATTATCCCATTCCTATTTTTGATGTTAGATAAAAAAATCTGGGATCAATCTGAGTTTATTTCACGGATAACAAAAATCATGGCTCAACACCGTTTATACAGTTCAGTAGGTGTCCTGTAAACATCTATGAGTTCAGAACAAATATGGTTTCCAGACAAGATAAAGTGCTTAATGATACAAAAGACCTATTTTAAAATTACAGCATGAAACCTCACTAACTCAACAGTCAACAGCTAACAGCACGGATGAAAAAATCATTCTATTCAGAACTTCCAGTTTTACTTGTTGAATATTCGGCATTTCTTTGATGATATGTGACTCATAATGTGAAAATACTCATGTAAGTATTTAGGTGTAAAAATAGGTAAGCCTATGTTATTTATTTAATGAAAACCATTAGAAATGTCAATGTACTGGATACCTTGACATTCTTTGGGTTCACAAATTGTGAAGTTCGTGAAGTTTTACTGTATTTTTTTTAACTAGATTTAATATTTTGGTTCCAATCATTAGTTCAGTCACTTGGTTAGCACTGAGAACCTAAAGCAACATGGGTGGTCAATTTTATTGTACGTAAAATTTGAAATGAATTGTGTGAACCAGGCTTAAATGTTTACTTTTGTTGTGTAAATAATTTTTATTTCTATGACTCTTGTTATGTTTATAATTATTACCGTAACTTTGAAGAATGACAACTATGTGATGTGGCTCATTATTATTAATCATTGAATTTAAAAACAATCAAATTTTTCAAAAAATAATTTTAAGCCAAACTAACAAAGCATTACCAGTAGGCCTACATGGTGAAATGTTTGGAAGTGAACAAAAAAAAATGATGAAGAACCCATTTGGTCATACAAACGTTTTTGTGGTAATTCAAATAATTCATCTAAACGACTACGGTAAGTCACACTACAATAACTTATACAGTTGGTCAAATTATTTACTTTAGATGTCCAGCTGTGAAAATTATAGATTTAATGACTATTCCTGTATCTCTAGACTAAGCTTGGGTTTCTTGAGATCACAGGATTTTACTAAGCGTAATAGGTAAACAAACATCAATACCTAAACCAGTTTTGTCTCCCAGCCCGTAGACTATTGCAGGTCTAAGGATCACGTACTCTAGTCCGAGAACTGTCTTCAAGTCACACTCCACCTGGTGTTTGTACTTGGCTATTTTGGTCCACGGCTTCACAGGATCAGTCTCTTTGTGTTTCACCTGAATCAAACAATTTTATAAGTAATTTGAAACTATAATATTTGGACCTTGCCATTAATGGTAAAGATGTTATTATACAGGGTGGCTGAAAAGTAACTTGCACCCCCCTTTAACTTTTCAACCATTTGAGATATTTGAAATCGGTTTGCGGCAACCTTCTTAGATATGAGGGGCTACAATAATTATGGTCAATTTTGAAAATTTTGCCATTAGGGGTAGCGGGGGTAAGGGGTAGCTCAAAATTTTCGAATGACAAGTATAGTCGAGTTTGGTATCATTTTACAGATCTTGACAAAACATAAACATTGACATAAAGAAAACCAAAATCGGCTCACTAATAACAAAATGGCGCCCTAAAATGTTTCAAATCCAAATAACCATGAGGGTGGCAAAAAAATTAACTTGCACCCTCTTTAACCTTTTGACTATTTGAGATATTTGAAATCGGTTTGCGGCAACTTGTTTGGATATAAAGGGCTACAATAATTATGGTCAGTTTTGAAAATTTTGCCCTTAGGGGTAGCGGGGGTAGGGGGTAGCTCAAAATTCTCAAATAACAAGTATAGTCGAGTTTGGTATCATTTTGTAGGTCTTGACGAAACATAACAATTAACATAAAGAAAATAGAAATCGGACCATGAATAACAAAATGGCAGTTCAAAATTACTTTAAGTAACCATTGTCTCAATCATTTTTAGCTGTCATTTTGTTATTAATGGTCCGATTTCTATTTTCTTTATGTTAATTGTTATGTTTCGTCAAGACCTACAAAATGATACCAAACTCGACTATACTTGCTATTTGAAAATTTTGAGCTACCCCCTACCCCCGCTAAGGGCAAAATTTTCAAAACTGACCATAATTATTGTAGCCCCTTATATCTAAGAAGGTTGCCGCAAACAGATTTCAAATATCTCAAATGGTTGAAAAGCTAAGGTGGGGTGCAAGTTACTTTTCAGTTTTCAGCCACCCTGTATGATAGCTATAAAATGTGCCAGGGCTGGAAATATCAATAACTAAACCAAGCCAATATTTAGAGCCAAATTTTTAACTCTCTTTTTCTACGCCGGAAAGTCTACCCTGGGGACGAAATATTGGTTGTTTTGTGTGTCTTCTGTGTGTTTTTGTGACCTAATATCTTCTAAAGTAAGCTAACTTCTATCCCCTCTATTCGACAATTCATAAGCCAAAATTTAGTTTGCTACTGCAACTTTTACAAAAAATTGTGTTATCTTGTTTATCAATTATCACTTTAGCAGACATGATTTGCTTGAAAAGAAGTCTTCCATAATTTGAATAGTAGCCTACTACATTTGTAATCAGAAACAAATTCATCTAGTAGCCTACAGGTTATTTGATCTTATAAGCCTAAACCAGCTCTATCACAAAACGGCACATATTAATCTGCAGTGAGTACAGACCTTGTCGTTGGAGTCCATTTGTCCTGAGGATATCTCCAGGTAGCGTTTGACCCCGTGCTTCGCCGCTGCTGAGGCACAGTTCATGCTGACCTTATAAATACCTTCCTCATAAACTTGGTCAGTCTGTCCTGGCTTGGTCTCTCCCGCACAGTTGATTGCATAGTCAAAGTTCTCGTTTTCTAATGAAAGTTCCGCAGCACCTACAAAAGATCATTGAAAAATGTTATGAACGTTTCCTAGTGAATATTGTCAATGTGCAATGAATAGGTAATCCCGTTCTAGCACATGGAAAATGTATAACACAGTGCAACACAATACAAGTAGTAAGAAGCCAGTCTAAACCTTAATTAGGCTAACTTGCCCTATTGGCCTATTTAGGCTAAGCCCTACCTAATTTAGTTGTTTCTAATTTCCAAACCAATTCATTTGACTTACCTTGATGAATCAAGTTCGCACTTTTGAACTCCACCAGGGGGCTTTGAAAAATGGTCTGATGGTGCTTATTCAGCCAGGCAGTTTGCGGCGGAGTTTTGTCTACGATCCTCACTTTAGACACCAGTTGATTGGTGACCAAGAAATCTAATATGTTACGTCCGATGAAGCCAACACCTGTAATCAATAAGAAGACCCATATCAAACTTGAGGCTGTAAAAAGCATGATTTGAAATTGTCAGTTTTAATTGGGGTCTTAACACATTGTATGCTGCCCATGGGTAATCTTGCACCATGTCTGCCTGAGGATGCAGCAAATTAACATGTGGCAGTAGCTGAATTGCACTGACCTGAGAATGTTCAGTCTAGTGTAGCATTAAAGGAACCTAACCTCAAACTTATGCACGTGTCAATTTTCACTTGGTGCCTTACTCCCAGTATTTACTGTTCATGTCACCGAATACTTCTACCCCTGCATTTGTCAATAAGTGTATGTTTTTCAAATTTGTTCAAGTATCTTCTAATGGATTCTTAACTTATAGAACTACGTCCACAAGACTGGAACACAGTAAATCTTTTACTGAGCCTCTCCTATTGGATTAAACTTGATCGTCATATACAGCCCATCAGCTGTTCCCACACCTGGCCATCACACAACCGCAGCAAATGTGTAAATATTGATTTTGATGAGTTAATTGCCAATCAGTTACTTCCTAAAGGTTTAAAAGCTTTTCTAACCTAAAAGTTGGGTACGGTATTTTTTTTATCACAGCGACATTATTTAATCGCAAGAATCAATCCAGTCAAGGTAAGTTACATGAGTTAATGAGGCTAGGCCTATTTCAAAATCTCCACACAGATCCGTGCACATATAAATGCACTTAAGGGTACTTTTGTATTATAGAGGGGCCACTTATTTTACAGCGTGCTGCAGCCGTTATGTTAGGTTGGGTTATCACAATTATGTTTGTAGGACTTTCCTCGTTTCGTTATGAATCGAACCATACCAGATGAGTTATAAAAAAATTATGATAACCCAATCTAACCTAACCGCCGCAGCACGCTGTAAAATAAGTGGCCTCCGAATAATACGAAAGTACCCACTTACCTATGTTAGGAGACTGTTTGTACCTGTTAACTTGTGTCAAATGTAGGATTTGCCTGTACAAATCAGAGGTCCTTGTTTACCAACATACCAAGACGGGTGCAATCAGTGACCAATTAACATAGGCTAAGCTCAATCTCCAGTAGGCCTAAGACCTAACCTAGGAGGTTTTCAGACGTATCTACAGATAGAGAACAGGGTACCAGTACAGATCTACCTAAGTTAATGTCTTCATTACATGGGACTAAAAACATCATATTATTTAATCATTAAGAATACCTTAATGGTAAGGTTATTTGAATAATACCGGTAGTTATGCAACTTTCGTGAACACATTTGCACTACCGTTAATTGTATATTTGATAAAGATTTAGAAATAAATATAATACTCACCTCCAAATATAACAATTTTTGGTTTATCGACGTGTTCAGCCATTCTATTGGTATTAAGGCAAATTGTATAAATTATCAATTAAATGTAAATAATAAAACTATAGTCCATATCAATAAAGTAAAGTAAGTAAATATTAGTCTGACTGACAACTGACAACTGACACTGTAGTGAAAACTTACTATCGATAGTACTATCGATAGTATCGATAGTTTGAAAATATCGATAGTGGGTCGATAGTATTATACTATCGATGAGACTATCGATAGTTTTTTTACGTTAAATTAAGTAAAGAAATCATTATCTGGTACTCTTACATTTCATTGTTTGTCTGTTAATGCATACCTATAGTTAATATTATAGACTATTTTTTTTTATTCATTGTAGAAAAGCTCGGTAGACAAGTAGGCTACCTTCTCAAACATTTGAAAGCGGGGGCATTTGCTAATTCACTACCGGACTTATGGGTACATTTGCCTCGTGGGTTTTAGCATACATAGTAGACACCGGTATACGGTATTTTCCTTTGATCTTTGGTTTTAGATTGTCATAAAAAAATATATATATATATTATTTATGCTATGTGAGTAAAAAAAATATTTTTGTAGTGAATAATAAAAAGAAAATAGTAAGACAATTTTTCTTTTTTTATTGTTGTAACCCTTAAAAAAAACTTATTGTTATTTTATACAAATGTTGTAATATTTTGGGAAAAAAAACATAAAGGGGGCTCCAGGGCGTCACTCATAAATTGTTAAAATTAATAATCTGATACAGCTTTATCTTCGACTAGGTAGAAACCATTGTTTAAACTCATGCAGGCAGGATATATACAATATTATATGCATTAAAATTCCATTTGAGTGACTATCGATAGTACTATCGACAGTATCGATAGTTTTTAAAAACTATCGATAGTGTGACTATCGATAGTAAGTTTTCACTATGACACTGACACTGACACTGACGATAGTTTAGTTTTTTCTTCTTCTTCTTGACTTTTTACTTCGATCATTGGATGTCATCTAACTCCAGACACTAAGCAATAGTGGTTAGAAAAAGACGCGGGACCCAAATGGTCGAAACCCCACAAGGTCGAAATCCCATTGTGTCGACAAAGCGTGAGATTCAAATTTTAAGTGAATCTTTCATGAGAGCCATTTCATTTATAGACTCCTTTAGGGAGAAATTTATTGCTATATTGGGGTAGTGAGATCTTAACCCAGGATCAATTTTCTCTTTTTCCTTTTTCCTTGTGACTACGCCAGGTCAAATTTTTATGCTAGGCTTATCCGTAAAGGTCTCCATCGAGCTCCTGTCGTTGCCAAGCAACCTATCTTTACTTAATCTCAGCTGTGTCCACCTGCACCTTAAGGTACACAAAACAAAATTTAGTTTGTACTTCATATACTACGTTTTTATGTCATTCCTGTAGCATTTTGTACAAAATGTCGAAGGTTTTGGAACAGCTAGACACTTGCATTAAGCATAGATATTTTAAAAATCAAATCACATTATAATTTTGTATACTGCTTTTATATCCTATCTACTGCAAGCTAAAAATGCTGTACCATTTCTGTTCACCAGCAAAAAAATATAAAGAATCAAAGAATATATTCTAAACAATGTCCACCCTTCAACTAATAAACTAAAAACTTGAAAAAAATCTTGAATTTGATCTTGAGGAAATGTTGACTTAAAAATTAACATAAAGAAAATAGAAATCGGAGCATTAATAACAAAATGGCAGTTCAAAATTGCTTTTAATGACCATTGTCGTAATCATTTTTAGCTGCCATTTTGTTATTAATGGTCTGATTTCAGTTTCTATTTTCTTTATGTTAATTGTTATGTTTCGACAAGACTTGTAAAATGATACCAAACTCGACTATACTTGCTATTTGAAAATTTTGAGCTACCCCCTACCCCCACTACCCCTAAGGGCAAAATTTTCAAACCTGACCATATTTATTGTAGCCCTTCATATCCAAACAAGTTGCCGCAAACCGATTTCAAATATCACAAATAGTTAAAAAGTTAAAGAGGGTGATAGTTAATTTTCAGCCACCCTCCTGGTTATTTGGATTTGAAACGTTTTAGGGCGCCATTTTGTTATTAATGGGCCGATTTTGATTTTCTTTATGTCAAGTTTTATGTTTCGTCAAGACCTGTAAAATGATACCAAACTCGACTATACTTGTCTTTGAAAATTATGAGTAACCCCTACCCCCACTACCCCTAAGGGCAAAATTTTCAAAATTGACCATACTTATTGTAGCTTCTCATATCTAAGAAGGTTGCCGCAAACAGATTTCAAATATCTCAAATGGTTGAAAAGTTAAGGGGTGGTGCGAGTTACTTTTCAGCAACCCTATATAAGAATTCAACGGTAACAATAATAATATACACGATATGATTATAATAAATTCACTATAACATTAACTATAACGTGTATAACAATGTATTATAACAATGTAAATAAAAAATATACAGTATAATAAATTAAATGTGTAACAAATCCTTCCAAACAAGTTCTTTTAAATAATTTTTAAACATCCTAGGCTAAAACTACGCAGTGTTGACAAAAACACTATGGCTTGTGAGGCTATTAAAACATTTGGGAACAAATAACTGTAGTGTTCTAATGCCATACTTGTTCCTGTGCTTTGTTACAAAATAAGTATTTCTTTTTTAAAACGTTTTTATTAGCTCGCTTTCTTGTCTGTTCAGTATAAATTTTGCAATCGATTTTAAACTAACTTCCCGATGTGCTAGAGACTTGAAATGAAACTTGAAACATAGCTCACAAGTGGATGACAATGCAATACTATATCATTTCCAAATGTTCAATGTTTACAATTTGGAAAAATGTAAATATACCAATTGAAGTCAGCCGTAAAAAATTTTAATTTGACAGTTTGTTTAAAGATCAGAGGTTAAAAGGTACAGGTTCTGCTCCCGAGAGATTCAAAAGCCTTAGGATTATGAGAACTATCTGTTACCCACCGGCTTCACCCCGTTTGACTTCAAAGTAGTAATAAAACTATTGATTGGTTAAGTTAAGCTTAAATAAACAAAATATAATACAGTAATACAAACAAATAATCACACCTTGAAAGAATAACAAACCAATAAGTACATCTAAGGTATTTTTTACATTAGGGTTAAAAATAATAAGCTTTTTTTATGTTTATGCTTTTTGTGCCTTTTTCAACACAGTTAAAAAGGGTTTGGTTATGTATTAACAGGCTATATAAAATAGATTTAATATACATTGAAAACTAAAAATACGAACATTATTTATAAATAAAAAACCACGTTTTTAAATACCACGTTTTTATACGAACTAAAAAGTAGAAAATAATTTATAAATATGTGGAGAGAATAAATACTTGTAAGATTTAAAACGAAATCGCGGGCGCATGTAATAAGTTAGATAATAATAGTCAATAGGTGAAGATAATATTTGTAGATTAGCTATTAGTAGACTATATTTTATTACAGTTATAGTATTTACATAATTGAATGCATTATTGAACACTGTACCCTTTTAAATTCGTTGCTTAATAAAAATAATTTAAAAGGGTGCTACTATTTAAGAATGCTTTCAATTACATTAGTAGCCCTAATCACAGTAATTAACTTCAATAACTATTTACAATATAGCCGCAATTGCTTTGTCATCTTATGTACAAAGGGAGTGATCTCTGTTTTCAGTTTTGTTTCTACAGTTTAGTCTAGTTTGATTGTGTAAGAAACATTTCTAAAAAACTGGTTAATATCTCTAAAATCGTCTATCTAATGTGTCGCCTTTGTTATGCGACTGGCCATTAAAATGTAGTCCTTCTTCCAGTTCACACCTTCTAAATTTAAGTCTACTCTTGTGATTTTTAGGACTGAACTTTCCGCGTCCTTCTTCAGTATGGTAATCAGGCTTTTGATGGGGGCGGTGGCCAAATTAATAATTTTAAAGTAATAATAAAGGGTACAATAGAAACAAATTATTTCTTTATGTTATAAAAATATCAGGCAATCCACAAACCGCTCACTCCCGTTCTAAATAATTATAGAGTTTTAGCACAATAACGCATGTTTCAGCTTGAAATTACTGAGACAAAGGAAAATAAAATTGCTCATCATTGTGTTAAGAGTAAGTTATGGGTCGTGTAAAATAGATTAGTTCATTCATTGATCAAATCATCAAATCAGATGGTAAAATTAATTCCTTTATTAGTATCATGTTACTAAAACCTATAGCATTTACAAATTAAATACTTATCAGCTATTTGTATCGTTGTCATTAAACTACTTATAGCTCAGAATGTAGGTTTGTTATTCCGAATGAAAAATTAATAATAATCAATGAATAGAAACCACTGTTGACCGATTTTGTTACCCAATAACATATACAAAATGGAACAGTGCGAGTATAATGTGCTTAAAATATTTGTAGTGAATTTCAAATTTGAAATAAGACAGATTACATCATTTTTAATGCCCAAATCAATCTTTAATAATCATGTTTCTTCGTCTTTGACTGCAAATAAACTTGAACATATTTCTCCACGTTTATAGTTATAAACTATATTTTATCCTCCAATATATTATAAAATCTTTGACATGAAGTTCTTATCATGTGTAATACAAACCTGTTTTTGTTATACCACAATTAAAGCGAAAGAATAAACGGTTGCAAAATACCAAAGGTGTTTTAATTAATTGTTTAGCAAAATCAGCTGATTGTTGAAAGGTGCTAACAAGTAAATTAGTAATTCATTAAGATTATCTTGTCCTTACAGGAAACATTCTAGAAGGATTTAGTGTGTCAGTAGAAGTGTGTTAACGAAGATTGATCTCAATTTCAATATGTTTTGGAGATTTTTTAGGACAAATTACCAGGTATTTAACAACGTTAATGTTTAATCACTATACTATATTATTTTCTTACACCATGTCCATTTAGATTAAATGTTGAAATAATTAAGATGTAAATAAGGTAATGGGTTGTAATTGTCACACAGTTGACTTTAAAAGTCTTCATCAGTGGTAGCCATATTGGCTTTTAGTCCCATAAGAGCAATGTTAAGTTTGTAACAGAATTTCAAAAATCCTGTTGTGATAAAATAATGATTGAG